CATCGCGGCTGTTTCACTAGTCACATACTGCCAAACACCTGTTGTTCGTCTATTTGTCGAGGACTATGAGGATATGTGCATGCATGTATAATACACACACACATACATACATCCATACATACACACATACATACACACACACATACATATACACACACACACATACACACACATACATACATACATACATACATACATACATACATACATACATACATACATACACACACACAAACATACATACACACATACATGCATACACACATACATACACACATACATACATACACACACATACATACATACACACACACACATACATACCACATACATACATACATACATACATACATACATACATACATACATACATACATACATACATACATACATACATACATACATACATACATACATATGTTTTTCATCTTGTCTTATATCTTCTTGCATTATCAACATGAAGTAACAACGGTGTTACAGATAAACGAATGACGTGTACGCGCATGTCTGTTGAAGAATGTACGCGTCACATTTACAAACATAGATGAATATTATAACCACCATAGATGTGTATGAAGAAGAACACTGAAAAGAACACGTGTTTTCAGTATATGACAGGTGACATGGGGGCGTAATGTGTGACTTTCTGACCTTTACAAGTATTCTCAAAGTCAACAAAACTGCCCTTCTATCATGTGAAGTGGTCAGTGGTTATGTTAAGGTGAGTACTTACGGTCAGCCGTGTCAAGGATATGCTGACCCTTAGCAGGAAGAACCTGGGGCAGCAACAATATCGGGGCTTCATATTGTGCCAATACCACTGTTTAGTTCATGTTACGCTGCGGACCGTTGTTTGGGTGCTGGCAATTCCGATGTAATTAATTATGATCTGCCTTAGGGGTGCCATTGAGCTCGTTTCCGGGGTCACTGTGCGTGGGCGTCTGTAGGAAGGTAACGGTTCCGGTCGGTAATACAAGTATATACTTTCGTGGTGAGGAGTAATATATATATATATATAAATTAAAACATCTGCAGCATGTTATACAGTTTAAAAATAGATTTTTTTGCAGGTAATTAAAACAGATTTAAACACACTGTCCTAGGGCGACGTTGTTTGAGGCGCTAATTTCACAGCACACATATGCCTGTGTCATCAGATATCTGTTGACACTGGCATCATATATATCTGCCGTTGTACTTATTTACAAGAGAGTATTTCCACAGTAAGTACACATCGGATATATCTATCGTTGTACCTATATACAAGAGAGTATTTCCACAATAAGTACTCATCGGATATCTGTTGACTCTGGCATCATAATATATCTATCGTTGTACCTATATACAAGAGAGTATTTCCACAATAAGTACACATCGGATATCTGTTGACACTGGCATCATAATATATCTATCGTTGTACCTATTTACAAGAGAGTATTTCCTCAATAAATACACATCGGATATATCTATCGTTGTACCTATATACAAGAGAGTATTTCCACAATAAGTACACATCGGATATCTGTTGACACTGGCGTCATATATATCTATCGTTACATATGTTACATTTGACCACTTTGTAAAATGGCATTGTGTATTTCATATCGTTGTACCTGTTTACAAGATACTATTTCCACAATAAATACACATTTGTTCACTTTTAATACGAGCAATGACATATGTTATTCACAATGATGTGTGAGCTTGTAATCGTGAACATGTACTTACGTAAATTCCATAGATAAAATGTCCATGTTCTAAATTGACAATTTAAACAAAACAGGTAAAAGTGTAGTTGTTTTATTCCTGACAATTGGAAGTAAAGTGGAACTGGGAAGGTGTAACCCAACACATTCTCCCATCCCCCTCCTCTCTCTCTCTCTCTCTCTCTCTCTCTCTCTCTCTCTCTCTCTTTCTCTTTCTCTCATACACACACTGCGTTCTTTAGTCATTTCGAAGAACAAAACACGAAAACAAAACACAAGATATAACAAGTATGCAATGCAGTTTATTTACTTTCATGTTATGCTGTGACAATTACGTTTACCTTATTGTTAGACATCAGAACAGAGAGAAGTGCCAGCTAAACCGCTGCTGAGATACCACCGTCATTAATAAACCTTTACTATTAAACATTGAACGTATGGTATTAATTTTAGATAATAACGCCATTATATCGTATAACAGTTGATGTAATATCTGTATGTATCGGAAGTAGTACATGTAACGTATTACTGCACTGACTCTTGTAAGACAGATAGCCGCTTAGCAATGACGAAGAAAAAACACGCAGTTGATGACGATGAATCTCATAAGCATGATGTGGGGAACCATTGTGGACACTAGCGTTCCGTGTTCGCCTTTAAGAATCAAACTGGCAGTGGATTGTATTGACTTCGATTACGTCATCTTCACGTTTCAGTTAGCAAGCCAGGTATATTATGGAATATTGAAAGGTTTTCTGCCGTTGGAAGGTGGGATTTCAGAATCATCTCGTACACAGCAAGTATGTAATATGAACACAAACCAAAGTTGGGATGATTATCAAAGCAATGAAAAATTAGTTTCGCTAAAATACATTTTCACATTACTCTGAAAGGTTTTCTGCCGTTGGAAGGTGGGATTTCAAAATCATCTCGTACATAGCGAGTATGTAACATGAACACAAAAGTTGGGAATAATTATCAAAGCAATGAAAAATTAGTTTCACTAAAATACATTTTCACATGATTCTGACATTTCGATTTGTTTTCACCCGTTTTCAGTATACCCTTTTCTGCTGATGGAGCAGATACCTACAGACAGACAAGATGCCGTACCTGGTATGAGCGTTTTGTATTTGGAATATATTTAATGCATTGCGACATAACATATTCTTAATATAGATAGTTATTACCTGGCATAACATTGTTTGTAAAACATTTATTGTTATTTTAGATGATGTTGACACTTGAATCGGCATAAATTATGAAAAATAGAGATCAGATATTAGCAAGTGCTAAAACGGTTAACAATGATTAGTTTGTTAGTAGGATTCTGTGAAGGTAGATGTGTGTCGTTTTTAAGATGACACAGCGTCTAAACTGCTCCTATGTGACAGAACGTGGCATGCTATACATTAGGTGCACAAAATGCCTACACTGTCATTTCGGTTGACATCATAATTCTAATCGAACAATAACGTTTCAAGCATTTTACTCTCATGTGCAGTATTGTTTGGGGAAGAGATTATGGCATCAAACAATTGTGTCCTTAACAGCCAGATAAACAGAAATTAGTAATTTACATTCACGAATATTTTGATGGGTGTGTTATCGTGCCTCCATGGCCACAACTGAACGGACACGACAAGCAGTGCGATCTGTCAACGTGTGGTTTCTGTATGTATGCAAGCAAGCTGAATGTCAACTCTAGAAATGGTTCTCGACAACTGACCCCTTTCGTGAAGCGAACCAAGTGCAGTCCTGGTCTCGGTTGTATGCTCAGTGGCCGATACAGCTGACTTGTGTACACACATAGCTACATAGATATCTACAATAGCAACAATTCACAAAAGGTCAGACATGTCACTGTGACAAAGCACATCTTACCGACAGCGCGGTAAGATGCATGAGCAAATTACCCTGATGAGAGTTCTGAACACGATAACTATGTCGATAGACCCTACTCTGCACTTATCACAATACCCATTTTCTAAAGTTGACTTTCCTTGATATTCATGACTTTATTATGTGTACCACGACACGGCAACATAGAGTCATTCACTGTGCACATGTTTAACCTAGCTGAATGATCGATACTGCATATCTACACATTTACAATAGTTGGACGCATGTTTGATGTATGAAATATAAGGCAATAGCATCACTATGTACACAAATAGACGTACACAGAATACCGACACCGCTCATCTGCCGATGTAGCAAACACAATGGGTAACACAAGACAATGACACGTACTTATCCATGGGATCGCCAGTAATGGGTGCCCTATGTGTCTTGAAAACATTCAGCTAATAACATAACAAATACCAAGTATTTTGATTTGTAGGCAGGTGCGCTGTTACTCGGATGCATCAGCGAGATCGCATTACTATAACACAACAGGTACAATGACATTCATGTTGAAGGTCATAGCTTTATCATACAAGAAGCAAACTGGTCACCCTAGTGCCTTGCGCGTGTTATCACAGTTGAGCTTTTGTTAGCAGATCACCGACAAGCATAGAGAAAACGGGACAGATAAATACACGTAGTACTTGCATGTTCCAAAGAGGTTGTGACAGGTATGGAGTAAGCGAATTGGATAGCGAGAAAGCGAAAGAAATGAATGACTGTGAGACAAACGGCAGCCTAATGTATCCGCCTGTCAAGTATACATTATGACGAAAACTAACAGGACACAATATTGATCAATTTCACTGTAATATAGTTTAAGTGTTACAATACTAAATGTCACCACGGTATACGTTAACAGCCAACGTAACAAGCACAGGTCGAGGCCTGGGATTCAGAATTGGCAGCTGAAACAACGCATAAGCAAGCTGTGGAACCGGAAGCAAGGGTACATTGGTGCCAACCCTCTTTTTGTATCCGGATGATTTAATGAAGTACCACGTTTATCTGGTACGAGGGCGCCAATATTTCATTTTGTTTTATTTTGTTCTTTCTAAGCTAAGCACTCTTGGTCATACAGTCTAAATCCCCGTCTAACTCATTTATACCAGGTGTGTACATAGGTTCGGGAATTTAACGAGACAAATTAACTGGTAAACTGGATGCTTAGTGGGTGGGCGTTGGCAACCTCATACGTTGCAGTTACAGTGGACATGTCTATGTACAATATATATCATGGACAATATGTGAGGATACAACCTCATCGTGGAACATAAAGATCTTTCCTGAACATATTTAGCATAAACAATATAGTTATATTAATGCTTGACAAGACTAACTTTTGCCAAATCAGAACACTAGAGATGGCTTTCTCTGACACCTGTATTTAATTTGTGCCAGGTACCTTTGAAACAAGTCTCACGATTGTCATTGGATGATAACATTTGCATTGGAAATTGAACAAAACCGAGTTTCAGTGTCTCAGTGACGTTATATCCACGGCATGGTAATATTTCGGTGTATTCATCATTTGTGGGGTCCATATCGTCACTCATCTTGACCCTTTACCATCAACGACCCTTAACCATCAACGATGTCGCGCAAACACTTGTTGTAGTAAATGAGCCCCGGGCAATCACGTAATATCCCGCAAACCATACGCACATGTTACAAGTCCCGTCTCCGACACAGGAGAGCATCGTTACGTACTCACTGACGTTGAGTCCAGATGGACAGAGAGGGTCTCAATCAACCAAGCTGAAGTATGAAATCTGACAGTTAAGCATTCTTCCGCTGTTCGACATTTATGTACGACCAACATACAATTTTGACACGTCTGTATTGTGTGTTGCTTTAGCAGAATGTCCAAAAACTAAACCTTGAAAGAATCATTTAACAAAATATGAACTTATTATGTTTCGTTTTATAGATGTTCCGTCACGTTCCGCCATTTCCTAGACGGCTGTAACGGTGCCAGCGTTTGGTCAGAAGGCGTGGCGTGCCCCGTATGTATGTTGCATGTTGCCTCGTCGCTCTTCTCTGAGATGACGTCCTCTAGTGCAGAGCAAGAAAATCAGCTCAAACATCTCAGCAACAGTGATGAGGCTGAATCCCATGAACAGTCCAACCTGTCCGCCAATGGAACCTGTGAAAATACAAATGGACGAGTTACACACTCTCCACACAATGATCATGTTCCTAGAAGGCGTGGGAGACGTACTTCATCTTCGGAATGGACTAATAGCAGAATTAAAAGAGTGCACTGAACTTCCAAATGTAATACGATAGTATTAATGGACGCGGCGTACTCCTATTCCGTCTCTCGCATGTACCTTAAATAGGGTACCACACAACCGTTCTGACGTAACCGTTCCTACTCATAGTTTTACACCAGATCAATGTTGCACCTAATAATCTGATTCCGGTTCAAACCATCCAGTTGCTGTCATCATGAACATCGATCTACACAATGATGATAGACGATATCTAATCCCAAGTCAATCGTTTGGTTTGATTTGATTGTTTTTAACACCGCACTCAACAATATTCCAGTCTGTAAATAATCGTCTGGACCAGACAATCCAGTGATCAACATCATGGCCATCGATCTACGCAATTAGGATACGATGTCAGCCAGGTCAGCGGGCTTGACCACCCCATCCCGTTAGTCGCCTCTTACGACAAGCATGGGTTACGGAAGATCTAATATAACCCGGATCTTCACAGGTCCACCAAGTCAAAGAGCATGAATCATAAAATAATGAAAGTGACATTAGGTTTTACGAGGCAACACAAAATACATTTATTACTATGGGTAGAAACACGCTGGTATGCAGGTTGTTATAACATCCACCCTCTCACCTAGCAGTCCCTCAACGGTGTATATTGGAACTTGTTCAATGGTCGTGACGACAGGGTCAGGAAAGAAGAAGTGAAGCGTCACAACATCCGCGCCTAGATCATGACTGTGATGAATTGAAGAACAGACAAAACATTTGAATTACTGAAACAAGTCAATTTCGAACATGCAAAGAAGGTGGTTCTGCACATGGGATCATGAAAGGTGAGCTTAAAGGGGCATTATTAATATGGGTTAACAAGTAGTGTTTCATGGAAAGCAGAGGCATCAAAGTAAAAAACAATAGGTAGTATGTCATAACAGAGAAGACTGAAACGGTGGCCTCAATATAACAACCATTTCTTAACTGATTACATCATAATGGGTTTCACTCACACACACACACACACACACACACACACACTCACACTCACACTCACACTCACATGTACGGAGAATCATCTTGTCATCCGTTTATCCCCATCTTTGTATCAGATGATAGATAATATTACCATACAAGATTTGGCAAAATTTAAAGTGTACATTCCTGCAAGTTTCGTCGTTTAGTGTGCGATCGTATTATTTTTTTACATTTTACATCCAAACTTATCTAAAGTTACCTTTACGGAAAACACACAGTCACCCATACAACACGTTTTTATCTTGCTGTCAAGGAGAGTTGGTGTCAAACAAAATATTATTTGTGCAGATAGTTATTCCAGCAAAACCTATTTCACTTGTAACCCAACAGGGAGTATGAAAATGAATCTCTTACACTATGCTCTCAAAGAAGCTGGTTGCTCGAAACTTGGTACAAGTGGCAGCTGCAGCATAATGGGTCTCCCTACACGGCAGCGGGCACACACAAGGAGCCTTCTCAACGTCTCGGTCTTCATTCCCTCTGTAGTACTTAGCTACAAGAACATAGCAACACTGTCACATTATATGTCACAATCCAGTGCATTCCCTACTGAAACACCCCTGTATTGTTTCAGGATCCTTCTCGATACTGACAATCACTTATACCACGGTTAACCTAACCATCCATCACACATCGTCACACTGAACACTATGAAGATAATCTTTTTAATCCTGAATCCAGGAATGGCGCTTTAAAGTGTGAACTCAATTTACTTTGAACAGTTCCGTCCGGATAAACAAATTATCATCGAAACGCGAATTAATCATGGTCAAAACACTTAAAACAAGACAAAATAGAAGCGACAAAACCCTTTCCACATGCAAAATATATCAAACTATATCAAAAGTATGTGTTTATTTAGCGCCGCATTCGACGCGATCTGCAAGCAATCGAGCCTGGACCAGACAATCCAGTGACTGATTCCACGAGATACGATGAAAGAGCATGTGTGTATGAATCACTATCAAATAGAGGCTTTCAAACAGATATGTAAACATGCATAGCACATAAACACATTGTTATGCATCAGTTACCTATATAATGTCCGATGCAGTTCTCTTTTGAGACTTGCGCGTTATTTACCATACGATTCCAGGTGAACATTATATATTGCATGTATTTGTTATTTGTGACGGAAGCAAAACGACGGAAGTGTCTGATTGATAAACACATTCGCATAATATCGTACAAGGGTTCACTGGGACACAACTTATAATATCTTTACTGTGGAAGGGACATTTGTCGCTTTAAGGTTCAGTAAGTAGCAGCAACGATTTTCATAAATATAGGGTTTTTAACGTAAAAAAGAACATCACAAACATGGACAATCTTTACAAAACACATAATCGATATGTGTAACTCGTTTTAATCTAACTCAGATTGCAATATATATGAGAGGTTAATTAAACCCTACATATAAAACAGTTTCGAATTACAGATTCAGTGTATATGCCTCGAAATCAATATTAATCATAATGGCATTCGTCCACAAATTGCCTGACTGCCCATCTCATTTTCAGTAACAAAATGTCAATGAGAATGCAACGACATTTAAATCTTAATCAAGGCTTCTTTGCCGAGCAGACCTATCTTCAGCCTACTTTAACACATGGAAACTATCCATGTTAGTTCCACAAGAAGTATCTTCAGCCTACTTTAACGTATGGAAACTATCCATGTCAGTTCCACAAGAAGTATCTTCAGCCTACTTTAACTATCCATAATAGTTCCACAAACTATATCCATCTTAGTGGGCCTAACTATCCATGTTAGTTCCACAAGAAGTATCTTCAGCCTACTTTAACACATGGAAACTATCCATGTTAGTTCCACAAGAAGTATCTTCAGCCTACTTTAACACATGGAAACTATCCATGTTAGTTCCACAAGAAGTATCTTCAGCCTACTTTAACACATGGAAACTATCCATAATAGTTCCACAAGAAGTATCTTCAGCCTACATTAACACATGGAAACTATCCATAGTAGTTTCACACAACATACCTTCAGCCAGTCTGTAACACACAGCTAGTTGGTCCATCGAACAAAGCGTCTCGTTGCCTGGGTAGAAAAATACATTTCTGTACAAACACTATTTACTTTAAGAAGCATATATCAAGATACCCCACGGACACAGCAGGTAGACATAATCTGGTCTCATTAAAAATGTTAACAGTTTTTGGTAAAAACACAGTTTTATGTTCATTAATTTTGAACAGTTTTCCCGAGGGAGTTGTTACAGAATAAGGACAACCAAACCATTGCAAAAGTGGGGTAATTTGAAAAACCATCATGCCTAAAGCAACAGTAATACAAAAAGGTTTACGATCAAATATCGACAACAGATACTTGTAATGGGTTCTCAAATTGGATTTTACGCAGCTTTGATCAGTATTTATTAGTTATATCAAGGTGTGTCTGGGAGGAATGATCAAATTGTTGTTAAAAGCATGTATCCCGAGCAATACAGATTGAACAAAACCGAGGTTCATAACGGTGAAGATCTGTGTTTTACAACTCCCCAAATCCCACTCAACCTCTATGACGGCGAATATCGTCAACTTGGAATAGTTCCTTTCACCCCAATGCCAAACTCCTCTTTTCTGCTAAAAGGGATAATCATAATAACCTTCCCTCATCATTGGATGTAAACCAAACCCGTTTATTATGCAGACCGAAACATTCGGAATCCGCCATGGAAAATAGGAGAGGTTTGAGATGCGAGATGGCATTTCCGAAAACGTCGGACAAGCTGGTCTGGCCAAGCTACCTTCCATCACCTGTGACCTCAGCGTGCACGCCGCCGGAACGTGATGACACGCAATGAGGCACCACGTCGTATTACCCGATCTCATTTGGAAGTATTCAAAGTCAAGCGCTTTGGAAGTATTCAAAGTCAAAACCCATTCTTTTCCGAGTAAACAAAGGAATAACCCCATTGTGATAATAAAGCGTTTCTGTCCTACACGTGCCTCTTCAAAACTGGTTGACTTCCCATCCCAGTTCATACATAACATTATGTTATTGTTCACCACGTTATCAGAATAATTATATTGTGCAATGTCCAATGTTCCCATCATGAAACTTACCCAATGCCGACACGTGGCTTGCCGGAACAGTGTCCGAACATTTGGTTTTAACACAGACCAACCCAGTTTGCCCATCCCCTTGTTACAGGACATACCGTTCACCCACTCGCTCAGTACGTAAATTAATTCCACTGATGAGTCATGCATCTGTTGGTGTTATCATCATCATATCACAGCTGTATTGTCATAAAACAGCCTTAATGATGACTGTATTGTCATAAAACAGCTGTCAAGCAGGATTGCAATACACACCTACATAACATGCCGCGGAAATAACCCGGTTCTGTAAAATATAAAGCGGCTGGAGTATTTACATTATCAATATGTTATGTCAAAGTATTCCTGTTCCGATCAAACTTATCCTATTCCAAATAATATTATACATCCCATTTGTATTTGTTATGAAGGCCATAGACGTATTGATGTATGCAGGTGTCCATATATACAATGTCATATATTTACATACATTATGTATTAATTTTGTATCTGTTTGTATATGCTAATGTGTGTTCTATTCATACGTGTCATAATGTCAGTGTTACGTACATGACGTGCACCTACTTATAAACACAATCACGTTGTATCTGTGTCATATTCCTTCCCTTCCTCGGTCATCCTATGTTAGGTATTACAACTAGGATGTATTCAGGTGTCACGTACCTGGATGGAGGAAATGTCGACATCCGCAGACTTTGATAACATAATCAAAGAAACATTCCTTCTCGCACGCCTCTTTCGAGTAATAGTCGAACCGCTTCAGGGGATTCATAAACTTGGCGCTGTCCGTGTCCACACAGGTGGAACCACCGAATGCTTTGAATGGAGGTTCCAGCCCGATTCTCTGCAGAGGCATATATGATTGTTAGGTCATAGGAGTTAAACAGCAAGTACTATTTTTTAGCATTACTCTGTTCCACCTTAAGCAATATCCCTTCTTGGATTTCTTTCTTTCTTCTATCTGATGACTGTCTTTCCTAAGAAACTTAAGGAAATGGCTAAATTGGTTCACAAAGTTCTGAATTTTTTGTATCAACTTGAAAGATAACTTAAAGTATTGAATCTTCAGAGAGGTTTTTCTTTTTATTGCATAAGATCAATGACACCATGAGCTGTCATTAGTCCGTACGTCTCCAGACAAGGTAACTGATATATCAGAAAAACGTACATTTAAGACGTTTCGTCTAGAGCACCATTCCAGACAAGAATATCGTAAGTGAAATTATGTGCCAAGAATTCTCAAAGGCCAAAGGAACAAGCTTACATGCAACTGTAGCTTTCTGACATACAGCCTTACACTGTGAAAAACATTTTAGTTGTTTGTGAGGAAGTTCCAGTTCCTCTGTCATATGATTTTTGTTCTTTCCTCTTTTCTTTTTTTTGGAGGGTGTTTTCTTAACATTCAATTAGTAACATTTTCCCTTCTTCTCCTAATATACAGATACGATGTCACATTGTATAGGGAAAATGAACAAAATTGAAGAAGGGCATTATTGAAAGGCAGCGAACAACATATATCTTTCTTAATTATATAAATAATTCTTTCATGCAATAGCGTCATCAGCTTGTAAAACCTGTACGTATTGCTTATATGATTATTCCGATGGTCATGTTCTATTATTGAAATCACGAGCAGTATCATTGGACCCATATTGACATGATAGCTCATGCATGCCGAAACCGGGTTTTTTTGTGTGTGTGTTACACAAAACACGATCATTGTCCCGCTGATCTTCGTGGCAAACACCACAAATATCATATAAACAACGCGAGTGTGATTGAGCGTCACCACAAGTCCTGGTTTACTGAACACACATTAGGCTAAGAGCAATTACGCAGAGGTTTCTGCTAGTGGATAGTGTTGCATCTGACGATGAACACAAACTAATTGTATGGCAAACATCGGCCTAGTGGCACGGAATGCTTTACATTTAAGCCATGCTATTGCCTCGGATATCAGTTTCGTCCCAAAGGGGCAACTTTGATTGTGAGAGGTGTTGGTGGCATGTCCACTTAGACTGATCTCATAAATCAACGTGGCGTTGTTCAGATGTACTCTTCCAAGCCAATTTGTAGTTGTCCTCCAAGCCTTTCTTCAACGGCCATTATTAACCTTCCTGCGTCGTCTGATGAAGGTCACTCAAAGCATAGCATATTCAACTTTAAACAAAATTACATGGATTCAAAGGTTTATTGAACAATTACAACAAACGAGTTGAGTCTTGGAGAAAATTGCCTGTACTACCGGTAACGACGACTTCGCGTGTACTGTCCGTGTGGCCCCATGTTGTCCTATGTTAACAGGTCGGATGTAGGGACAGTAATTCCAGACAGAAATCCCGTCTTCCGTAAAATTAAAATGCATGGTGAAGTTCCAATAATCCGTGATTGATTGCTCAGCTGTATATTCAGTATATATATTTTACATTTCCGTGTCTGAAATGTGGTACCGAATTTGTCAAAATAATATTAATATCCCTTGAACACAACACAACACCAGCAGCAGAGAACACCTGGTCTCGATTGTGGGAGGAAACAGATTTCTTTGGGGTAAGGTCACAATAGCTGTGACAGTCGCATCAATGGAGCACTGACTCCAGAAACTGTTGTTCCCCACACAATAGTCATGTCCTGCCCTACAGTGAGCGATGAGACGCGGTGCAGGCTGTTGCAGACAAGAACAACACTGCAACCATCAGTTCACTTTGATACTGCATGGATGTCATAATTTTAACCAGCCAGTTGAAAACTAAGACAGGATATACATATACATGGTAAAGAAATGTCATTTCATTTTATGCCAGTTGTACACAATGTACACAGTATCTCAGGTATATCATGTTGGAGGAAAACTGGAGTGATGAAACAACTTTGGTGAAGCCTACGACCTGGCATACTGATGGTGCTGACAAACCTGGAAATATAAGGAAATATAACAGGGATCTAAAACCACGGGCATAGCTTTCTAGGGTGTCCTCTCAACATTTAGATTATTAAAAATACTCTGGCCGTTTCACCTTATGTTCGTTCAGTCTCCGACGCTCAAAATTGAGATGTGGTTCTCTCCCCCTAGTGGTAGAAGTTGGTAGATTTTCCCGGCCCAAAACTCCATTAAATCAACGTATATGTAAATAATGCAATTACTCTGAAGTTGAAGATGAGATACATTTTCTAACCTCATGTCCATTTTATTCAGATATCAGATCTACGTTATAGCTCAAAGCCAATGAAATTAACCCACAATTTGTTAATCTGTCCTCAACAGAACAAACTATATTTCTTATGCAGTATCCTCAGCTCTCCACACCACTTGCCGCTACATTGAGCGCTATGTTCAGGCGCAGAAAAACTACTTTTATAATGTTATAATTTAATAATAATAATAATAATAATAATAATAACAAACCTCGTGTCATCACTGCTCTTCCAATGATATGATTTACAGAGAGCATAAGGGAGCAAGAAAGGGATGTTGGGGGTGCAAGGATCAACTTCTTGTACAGAAAATGATTTTGGAAGAGGCTAAAACATATCACCGCAACCTCTCCATGTGCTGGATTGACTACAAAAAAGCATATGACTCTGTCCCTCACGAATGGATTCTGAAGTCTCTTCATTGCATTGACCTCCCTCAGCGACTACTTGATTTACTCAAGTCTTTAATGAGTTGCTGGTCGACTCAACTTGAGATGTACTCGCTGGGGCAGGTGCAGACTTCGGAATCTATTCCAATCAGAAGGGGAATATTTCAGGGGGATTCCTTTAGAAACGTGGCAAGGTAACTAATGATGGATCGGTCAAGTTACAAGGGGGAGGAGTTATTGAGCATCTTGTGGAAGATCAGGCCTACACCTATCTTGGAATGCAAGTTCGAGATAAGCTCCAGAATGCCCAGATTCAAGACAAACTTCGGGCCGAGTACAAATCTCGTTTAAAGAAAATCTGGAGCTCAGAGCTAAATGCTCGAAACAAGGTCAAAGCCACCAATACTTTTGCTGTGCCAGTCCTCTCCTATTCCTTTGGAGTAGTTGATTGGACGAAACAAGACATCCAGAGTCTTGACCGCCTGACCAGAAGGATCATGTCTGATAACAGAGCCCACCACCCTCGTTCCTCTCTTAACCGTGTATATATGCCAATCAATTCTGGAGGTCGGGGTTTGATTAATGTGGAGGCTCTTCATGACAGAATTTTATTGTGTACTTTTGCACATATTTATTTATCGAATGATCCTCTGGTGATGCATGTGAAGACTCATGATGAAAGCAAGGAATTCCACAGCTATTTTAAGCGTGCCAAGGTTGTTGGACAGAATCTGAAATTTGAGGTTGACTTTGCTGATGGCGATGTACTGCTGGACGGTACAGCGATGGGAGTAAACCAGGTGAAGTCCTTCACCAAGTCTGCCCAGAGTCGGTCTTTTGTGGAGAAGCTTTCTGAGAAGCCATTGCATCGTGTGTACATGCAGTGTGTGGAACAGAATAGCAATCCCTCCGACTCCTTCGCCTGGATGAAGTCGGCTGGTCTTAAATGTGAAACTGAGGGCTTCCTATTTGCTGCTCAGGACCAGTCACTTCCCACTCGTAATCGCCTAAATGTGATTCTTAAAGAGAATATTAACATGAAATGTCGACTTTGCAATGATTTCACAGAGACTGTCCAACACCTTGTCAGTGGATGCCCTTCCTTGGCACAAACAGCATATCTTAAACGACATGATGGCATGGCTCGCTGCTTTTACTACCGTCTCCGACATGCCTGTGGCTTTGACTCCGAGGTCCATCCATGGTACGACCCTGAACATGTCCAGGGCGTCATGGAAAATGATGCTTTCAAACTTCTGTGGAATAGGCCCATATACAGCCTCAGAAGAATTCCAGCTAACAAACCTGATCTTGTCCTTTTTGATAAAGCCAATGAATTTATATATATCATTGAATTTTCTGTCCCTTTTGACAGGAATGTGATTGACAAGATCAAGGAAAAGCATGATAAATATGCGGACCTCGCCTTTGAAATGTCTCGCTTGCATCCCAAGTACACTGTCGTCAGGCTCCCCATTGTTCTCAGTGCCCTTGGTTTGGTACCTCCTGATCTTTTGGCACAGATCAGGAGAGTGCCCGGGTTCTCCACCGGGAGTACAGCTCTTCTGACACTCTGGGTAATGCAGAAGGCTGCAGTGTTGGGGAGCCTTCATATTCTACGGAAAGTTCTTGGTGGGTTCGACTAGGCAGCGTTTCCTGGGAGAAGTCCCATTCGCTGTCTGGGCTGCGTGTAGAGGGGGCAAGGGCCCTGAGCTGATGATGAGCCTTACCAGCCTGACTGTGCCAGGATCACCCGAACCCTCTCTGCTGCATATTATCTTCAATCTGTAAAACATAATAATAATAATCATATTCTCCGGAAAGTTCTTGGTGGGTTCGACTAGGCAGCGTTTCCTGGGAGAAGTCCCATTCGCTGTCTGGGCTGCGTGTAGAGGGGGCAAGGGCCCTGAGCTGATGATGAGCCTTACCAGCCTGACTGTGCCAGGATCACCCAAACCCTCCCTGCTGCATATTATCTTTAATCTGTAAAACATAATAATAATAAATGCATATTTATAATGCGCCCCTTCCACACCCTAAGGCATGCTCAAAGCGCTACGGAATATTTACACTGGAGTATTTACAGATGAAGTTATACATGATATACTGAGAAAAGGTGGGTTTTAAGTCTGGACTTAAAAATGTCAATTGTGGCAGAGCTTTTAAGGGCACATGGGAGAGAGTTCCAAAGCACAGGCGCGGAGTAAGAGAATGATCGGTGTCCGAAGGATTTCAGTTTGTAGGATGGGATGACCAGTCG